AAAGTACCACAGATCAGGTGGCTTAAACAACAGAAAATTATTTCCTCACAGTTCTGGAGGCTAAAAGCCCAAAATCAAGGTGTCTGCAGGGTTTGTTTCTTCTATGGGTCTCTTGTCCTGGCTTGTAGATGATCATTCTTCTCCCTTTGTCTTTACATGGGCTTCCCTCTGTGTGTGTCTATGCCCTAAATGCCTCTTCTTAGAAGGACATGCATGGTACCTTGCAGGTATTGCAGGTTTGGTTCGAGACCACTGCAATAAAGTGAGTCACACGAATTTTTTCCCAGTGCATATAAAAGTTTTGTTTATACTGTATTCAAAGTGCAATAACATTGTCTAAAAAAACACAACATACAGACCTTAATTAATAGATACTTTATTGCTTAAAAGTGCTAGGCATCATCGGAGTCTTCAGCCGGTAGAGGGTCTTGCCTCGATGTTGCGGGCTGCTGACCGATCAGGGTGGTGGCGGCTGAAGCCTGGGGTGACTGTGGCAGTTTCTTAAAATAAGACGACAGTAAAGTTTGCTGCGTCGACTCCTTCTTTCATGAATGATATCTCTGTAGCATGCAATGTTGCTTGATAGCGTTTTGCCTACAAGTAAGACTTCTTTAAAAATTGGAGTCAGTCCTTTCAAACCTTTCCGCTGCTGCTTTATCAACTACAGTTATATAATATTCTAAATCCTTAGTTGTTATTTCAACAGTCTTCACAGCATCTTCATCAGGAGTAGATTCCATCTTAAGAAACCACTTCTTTGCTCATCTATAAGGAGCAACTCCTCATCCCTTAAAGTTTTATCAGGAAATTGCAGCAATTCAGTCATTTTCAGCCTCCACATTTAATTCTGGTTCTCATGTTTTTTCCACCAGTGACTTCCTCTGCTGAAGCCTTGAATCCCTCAAAGTTATCCCTGAGAGTTGGAATCAACGTATTCCAAAATCCTGTTAATGTTGATATTTTGACCTCTTCCCATGAATCGCAGAGGTCCTTAATGGTATCTAGAATGGCAAATCCTTTCCAGAAGATTTCAGTTGACTTTGCCTAGACCCAGCAGAGGAATCACCGTCTATGGCAGCTATAGTCTTTTTTTTTTTTTTTTTAGCTATAGTCTTATGAAAGGTATTTCTTAAAGAATAAGACTTGAAAGTCAAAATTACTACTTGATCCATGAGCTGCAGAGTGGATGTTGTGTGAGCAGGCATGAAACCAATGTGAATCTCGTTGTACATCTCCATCAGAGCTCTTGGGTGACCAGGTGACGATTGCTAATGAGCAGCACTATTTTGAAAGGAATCTTTTTTTCTGAGTACACGGTTTCAGTAATGGGCTTAAAGTATTGAGTAAACCGTATTGTAAACAGATGTGCTGTTATCCAGGCTTTGCTCTTCCATTTATAGAGCACAGGTGGAGTAGATTTAGCATAATTCTTAAGGGCCCTAGAATTTTCAGAATGGTGAGTGAGCATTGGCTTTAACTTCACTAGTCACCAGCTGCATTAGCCCATAACAAGACAGTCAACCTGTCCTTTGAGGCTTTGAAGCCAGGCATTGACTTCTCCTCTCTAGCTAAGAAAGTCCGAGATGGCATCTTCTTCCAATAGAAGGCTGTTTCATCTACATTGAAAATCTCTTGTTTAGTGTAGCCACCTTCGTTCATTATCTGAGCCAGATTTTTCTGGATATCTTGCTTCAGCACTTGCTGCTTCACCTTGCACTTTTATGTTAGGAAGTTGGCTTATTTCTTTCAACCTCATGAACCAGCCTCTGCTAGCTTCAAACTTTTCTTCTTTATCTTCCTCAACTCTCTCAGCCTTCATAGAATTGAAGAGAGTTAGGGCCTTGCTCTGGATTATTAGGCTTTGACTTAAGGGAAGGTCGTGATTGGTTTGATCTTCTATCCAGACCACAAAAACTTTCTCTATATCAGCAATAAGGTTGTTTAGCATTCTTATCATTCATGTGTTGATTGGGTAGCAGTTTTCATTTCCTTCAAGAACTTTTCCTTTGCATTCATAACTTGGCTAACTGTTTGGTGCAGGAGGTCTAGCTTTTAGTCTCTCTCAGCTTTCGACACGCCTTCCTCACTAAGCTTAATCATTTCTAGCTTTTGATTAAAGGTGAGAGACATGTGATTCTTCCTTTCACTGAACACTTGGAGGTCATTGCAGGGTTATTCATTGGCCTAATTTCAATGTTGTTTTGTATCAGGGAATAGGCAGGCTGGAGGGGAGGGAGAGAGATGGGGAATGGCCTGTAGAGCAGTCAGAACATTGTTTAAGTTCACTGTCTTATGTGGGTGTGGTTCGTGGCACCCCCAAAACAACTGCAGCAGCAACATCAAAGATCACTGCTTACAGTTCATGGTAACAAATATAATAATAATTAAAATTTTTGAAATATTATGAGAATTACCAAAATGTGACAGAGACACAAAGTGGGCAAATGCTGTTGGAAAAATGGCACTGATCGATTTGTTTGACAGATGGTTGCCACAAACCTTCAATTTGTAAAACATGCAACACCTGTGAAGCAAAATAAAGCAAAGTGCAATAAAACGAGTTATGCCTGTATTAGATTAAGGCCCATTCTCATGACTTCATTTTACCTTCATTATCTCTTTAAAGACCTTTTGTCCAAATACAGTCACATTCTGAAGTGGGTGTTACTGGGTGTTAGGACTTCAACATATGAGTTTCAAGGGGACACAATTCAGCCTATAATGGGGGCATAAAATGAATTCTATGCAAATTGAAGTGTTGGGTAACCAATATGTTTAAGATGTGGAGCAATTTATTTAATGTTTTAAATAAATTGTATACTCTTTCAAAATTAGATGTTAGGAGTATCTTTTCTTTCCCCTTTGACCCAGTTTGATTGTAGAGATGTGGAAGGGGCAATTAAAGACTGATGATGGTTACGATAATAATAATAGTAGCAGCAGCTATTATTGTTATTATTAACTGCTATATTATATACTGGGCTCAGGTCTGAGCACTTGATATTTTTTGTCTCTCAGGGATGCTGCATGGTCAGCAGGGAGTTAGGGCATCTCCATTTAAGGATAAGGTTGAATTTTCTTTGGGAATCCAGATGTGGATCCTGGCCTCAGTGCTCTGGGACAGGGTCTAGGTTGTACCTTTGTGAAGCAAGATGGGATTCTTTGTAAACCACTATTTTATGAGACATCTTTGCGTTTTCTGTAGGTACAGCCTTTTTATTTAAACATGAAAAAGTTGAATTATTCAGGTAGTATTCGTTGGTGACAAACCAGCTTAAAAGTGCTCCAGATCAAGAAAGTCCTATAAAGAATATTTTACACTATATTCCTATTTGGCTCATAGCTTCATACCCATCACTTTGTAGGTGCTCAGTAAATAACCGTAGAATGAATAGAGTTCACTTAAAGCAAAAGGGAGAAATATAGTCACACTGGCAGTGCCCTTTAGAGGCTCATATTTGCATTGTCAGAATAGTATATTGCCGGCTCAGCCCTCATAGGTTTTTGTTATTTTCTGCCAGCAAATACAGTATGCATTGAATATTCACTTAATTGTAGACAGACAAAAGAAATAGCCAGTTGTATCCCTTGTATCTTAGACCTCCCACATGCTTGAGGCTTGGTAACAATAGCACAGTAGTTAAGCCTATCTCTATAGAAAGTCCCCTTCCTTTTAGATTTCATAGGTAAGAGGTTATGCTCAGCAGGGTATATTTTGTGTCCCACCAGTACGTGGAATTGGTGGCTGTGTATGTTTTGCTTCAGCCACTCATCACGTTGCTTTATTACTCTGCTGGATGGGGCTGTATTTGGAGCTATAGGTCTTGTTAAAAATATTTCTTTATAGTTGAATTGCAAATGTCTTTATTATTATTATTTTGTTTTTTTTGCAAATGTCTTTAGATAAAGTTTCCAGGATCTTTGAGATGCAGTAGGAAAAGTCAAAGAACTAAGTTGTCAACATCAATTCTTTTTTGAAAACAACTTTACATAGATGTGTACATATTTGTTGTTTGATTATTGCTCTGCTGCTGGCTTTTCAGTAGAGTTTGTACTTGTGATTTTCTTTTTCTTAGTTTAGGTTACTTAATGGATAGGAAATTTTAGATGTGGTATGAGAGAGGATAAAATTTTGATTCCATATTATGAGAATATTACTGTCAACTTGTCAACACTTCAGATTTTTTTAATTTAAAAAATTCCTTAAATTGGGCTTCCCTGGTGGCGCAGTGGTTGAGAGTCCGCCTGCCGATGCAAGGCACGAGGGTTTGTGCCCCGGTCCGGGAAGATCCCACATGCCGCGGAGCGGCTGGGCCCCTGAGCCATGGCCGCTGAGCCTGCGCGTCCGGAGCCTGTGCTCCGCAACGGGAGAGGCCGCAACAGTGAGAGGCCCACGTACGGCAAAAAATATATATATATATATGTATATATATATATATATAATATATATATAAAATTCCATAAATTAGAGATAAATTATAAATAGTTGAATTAGATATTATAATTACATATGAAATGCTTTTTGGCTTTTTCATTTTTCTCATTGATATCTGAATTTGTACAGTTTTCAGAGTATTTTTATCATTTCAATATTAGTGGCTTTTTTTTTTTTTTTTTTTTGCGGTACGCGGGCTTTCTTTTTTTTGGCCTCTCCCATTGCGGAGCACAGGCACCGGACGCGCAGGCTCAGCGGCCATGGCTCACGGGCCCAGCCGCTCCGTGGCATGTGGGATCTTCCCGGACCGGGGCACGCATCCGTGTCCCCTGCATAAGCAGGCGGACTCTCAACCACTGCGCCACCAGGGAAGCCCTATTAGTGGCTTTTTGGGTCTCACGTCCATTTAAGTGGAATTTCATTAACTGAAAACGTTTGCTAAATTTTTAAATATGTCTTTATATGAATGAAACGTGAGGTTATGCAAGGGTAATGCAATGGAATGTGACAGTTTAAATCAGACATATGAATCAGACCTTTGTGGTATATTTGTGTCTTAATTTAGGTTGGTTGAAGACTTTTGATGACTACTTTCGAGAGAAGACTCAGTATATTTTTAATAACATGGTCATCAAGTTGAAAGAAGACCCACGGAGGAAATTTATGTGGTCTGAGATCTCTTACCTTTCAAAGTGGTGGGAAACTATAGATATTCAGAAGAAGGATGCTGTTAAAAGGTTTGTTTTTTAAAACTGTTTTTTTTTTAAATTTGGTAATATTAAACATTAATTATACAGTGAAACAGGTGTTGAATTTTTAGAACGTGAAAATTCTTAGCTTTATATCTGAAAGTTAAAATATTTCTTCGCATTCTGTTTTTCCTTGATTCTGGTTCATCTCTGAAAAAGTGACTTGAAACTTTTCCATTGAAATCCTTATGTTCCATCTTTGTCCTAGAAATGGAATTACTAGGTCAAAGGGGCTTAATATTTTAAAGATTTTTTGAAGCATATAATCAAAGTGACCCCTAGAAGGGTGGGTTTCAGTGTATTCTTCAGTCTTCCATATAGAAAGGTACAAATTTCTCTGCATATTAGGCAACAATATAATTTTTTCTAAAAGTTTGACCAATTTAAGTGGTGAAAAATGTGAATTTTTGATTAGTGATAGTGTTCCATGCTTTCTCATATATACAGGCAGAGCTTTTTTTGAATTGTTTGATCATGTACTTTTTCTTACTGATTTGTAAGAATATTTATTATGTACATACCAACCTTTATTTTTCCTGAAGCTTTATATTTCTTCTTAATTCTTAGTGTTTGATATAAAGACTTTTAAAATATTTATGTAGTCAAATGTATTAATCTGTTTTCTTGATTGACTTTGCTGTCATATTTAATATGCTGTCATATTTAAAAAGTCTTCCCCAATCCAAGAGATGAGATAGTCTTTTTTTCCCCGATTTAGTTTTTTATTGTTCACTTTTATAAATCCTCCAGTTTATTTTTTTAATGTGGTGTGATGGGAGGTTTTGCTCCCCATGTCTCCCTCCTCCCTGCTCCCAGGACTTTAAGGATTGTCTTAGCATCAATTGCTTTCTTTTACTTATTTAACATCCCATATACAGTGCTTACTGTATTACTTCCTATTTTAAGTACCTTGCAAATGATAACTGATAATCCTCGCAACAATCCTGTGAAGTAGATATAATGACTATCTTGATTTTACAGATAAGGACACTTGTCATCCAGGGTCACCCAGCTGCACATGCTGCACTAGTTACCATCCAGTCCAGCCTGTCCAGCCCCACAGGCTGTTTGTTCCCTTGCACGTTGTGCTGTGCTGCTTCCCTAAGACTTACATAGTCCATTCTTTTCTACTGACTTGAAGTGCCATCTTTATTGTATATCAATATGCATTGATTTCTGGGCTTTCTGACCTCTTTCATGGACTTTTCTGTTTAACTGTAATTGTTGCGGCCTTATGTGTTTCAATAACAGACAGTTTAAATCTCCTCTAGTTTCTCTTTATTGAAAAGGTCTTTTAATGAGTGACCACTTAATTTTCCCAGAGAGCTTTAGAATTAACTTGCTAAATTCTTTCTACCCTATCAAAAAAAAAAAGGCGGGGGGGGATTTTGATAGATATTGACATAAACGTTTAAAGGTAATTTAGAGAGAATTGGTGTTCCATTATTATATATCAGACATCCCCCCGCCCCCCGCCACCGAGAGCATGCTTAAAATGCTTATAAGAGTGGCCAGGAAGGTGCCATAACTGAAGGCTGTAGAATCTGAGGATCCTGAATGTACCAGGAGTAACTGCCACACCCAAAGGGACTACCCCTTCTTCCACTCCTGCCATGTGTGGCCACAGGAACCAGAGTTGTCAGGATATTCTTCCAGTTATTCTTGACAAGCTGGAATTCCAAAATGTTACATAAAATGTCTTGACTTTTTAAGTTGAAATGTTAGCAGCTAATTTAGGTTAACATACACACACAAATCCTTCGTTTAAATCGAGTTACCTACTGGTTTGCAGTGTTTCAAAAATTAAGAACTGCCCTGTGAAACCCTGCGGAATTGGTGTTTGTCTATACATATTTTTTCTTTTACTAAGTTTAGAGATTAAAACATTTTTTTTGTCTGTCTAGGTCTTATATTGCTCCTTGAGTACAAATAATACTTCATAGTTTCTTATAATTTTATAGTGTTTTACTCAGATTGTTCAGATTTTAAGATTTTATTGCATCTATAGTTATTTTGTTTGCTTGTTTTTGTTTGTTTTCTTATTATTTGGGCGAATCTGATTTTTTGCTTCATCTTAATTAGATCAGCTAAAGCTTTTACTATTTCTGTTGGTTTTTGTACCCCCCAAAAAACTATTATATTTATATTTTACTGGTATTTACTCTTGACTTTTCTGCTTTTATTTAATTCCTTCTACCTGTTTTTTACTAATGCTAAATGGGCCAGTTGATTTATTTTAACAAGGAGCATTTCTCCCTCTGTTTGCCTTTTTACTGCTCTTATTAGCTTTCACATTTTTATGTTATTTTTTTCCTAAATATTCTGTATGTATTGTTTTCTCTTTGACTTGAGTATGTTAGGAAAATTTTCAAATTCCTGTTTTTTTCTCAGTTATACTTTAGGTGTTAAAAGGTGGTTTTAATGTCTTGTGGTCAGAGAATATGGACTGCACAATTTTTATTCTTTAGATTTTTGAGAAACAGTGCCATTGATCCCTAAAATTCCAAACTTTTGCCATATATCTGGGTATGTATAACTTATTAAATTTTCCATCTATCAATTCAGAATATTTTTCAGCTTATGTTTTTTTGCTCTTACTAATTAATTACTGGTTTTATTTCATTTGTTTTAGAATTCAGTTATCTAATTGTTAAGTCTCTGGTCTCTCTTTGGCATATGCATTTTAATTTTTTGGTTATATTTACTGCATTATGTGAGGTTTTTCTCAAGGTTTTTTGTTTTCTTTCCCACCTCACATTGTTCTCGATGGTGTGGAGCCTGTTCTTTTCTGGCTTCAAATGCTTGGTTTTAACTATGCTTTTTAATTACCCTTTAGTTCTGGGTTCTTTATATTGTTGTCTGTAAGTCCAAGCATTTTCCTTTTTTTTAATTCATCCATAAGCAATAACATGTATCCACACCTGGAATTTGTTTCAAAACAGAGAGTGTAACTCGACTCAAAGCCCTTCCTTTTCTAACCAAACACTTTGTTTCCCATCCATTTCACCTGATTTCCTTTTAGGAAATGGTCTCCAAACACGGAAGTCAGATCCTTCATTGTCCTGCCCCAGGTCAGATAGGTCAGTGATGATGAACTCAGCTAATCAATATATTATTTCCCCGGGTTTTGAACCTTTAGAGTGAAGCGAGGGTAAAGAGATGGAAAGAAGAGAAGCAGAATGGAGGGAAGGTTGCAGGTCAGCCCTCACAGAACTGGTGCATCCGCAAGATTCTTCCTGTCCTGTGTCACGGACCCTGTCATGCCTGTAGCATGGCCTCTCATTTTTTTCCAGTCCTTTGTTAAACCTGGACTTTTAGCCTGTTCTCAGTTCTGTGTACCCAGGACTGTCCCCCAATACATTTCCTGTTCAGTCAGTCAGTGTTGCTTGCGACCAAGAAAGCTAGCTGATATATTTCTCCTCAAATCCTTTGTTGGAGAGCTGGGTTCCAGAAAAAACAAAACAAACAAACAGAAAAACTTAATAGATACATAGGTTTGCTCCCATTATTTAAAATTCTGAGCTTGTACTAAGTGGCATTAATGATAGAATTTTTTTGACTACTACTGTAATGCTTATGCAATGGCTTGTTTTTCTCTTTTTGAAGATGAGTCTGTGGATTAAATATCTGTACCTAAATTTGCAAGCTACCTGTTGAAGAGAAGAACCTGTTAATTCTAGCAGAGTTCTGTGTAAGCTTTTATTGTCCCTGAAGAATATCAGTTGATTGTGGGAACTTAACAGAAACATAACTCAAGTGATCCTCATAATCTATGCTAGCAATGACTTCTTTGATTCTTCCCCCCTGTGGCAGCAATATTCAGCTCTATCAACTTTCAAAAATGAAAATCTGGTTAACTAAAGGGAGATCCATGCAAACAACATCTAGCTTTTTTATTTTGTGTGACTCAGAGTAATTTAATCAAGTATAGTCATGGTTCCTACTTGTAACACATATCCAGTGGATTTAAAAGAAACTACCTTGTTATAATCAGCACATTTTCCATCTACGCTTGTTTTATTTTGAAAATGACTGGTATGCTAACATTCTTTTTACTTTTTAGGCTTTCTATTTGAATACTTTTTGGCTAAATGCAGTTAAGTACTGCATGACGTTTATAATACATCAAAATGTGAACCCTATTCAGAGTCAAACAGCTGAAACATTAGCCTTAGCGTTTCCTTTGACTACCACCCAGCATATTACATATTCATTTTTCCTCTCTGGGCTCTGAGACATTGAAAGAGTTTTTACAGTGCATCTGCTTCTGCTGTTGAGACCAGTGTTCAATTGAGAAGCGCACTGGGCTGTTGGAACCTAGAACGGTTTCTGTGTTTGCCAGAATCTTGACCAGCTTCTCTGTGTGGACCTTTTGGTATAATATAAGGCTCCAAATGTGTGAATGGGGAAGGGTGCCATTAGATATCGTGTCTTCACTGCATTGCTGGATTTCATTGCTTTGCTGAGACCGCAAAGTCTTTATCTAATCTACCATTCTCTTCTTTTTTCCTAGGTTTATAGTTCAGTGAACCTTCTACCCTGTCCTTATAACTATCTCTGCTTATTGAAATCAGAGAAAAGTTTGAGATTACTTTCTTAAGTAATACAAATAATACAAATCCAAACTTACATTTTGCAAACTTACATGCATTCTGCATTATGAGTTCACTAGAAAAAAAAATACCTTTAAAGTTCTTATACTAGCTAATTTATTATACATTTTATACAGGTCAGATTTTGTGCTATTTAACCAAAGCCTGCTGTAAAATTTGCAGAGCAGTGAGAAGTTACAGTGTGTCTTGTGATGTTCAGAGTAAATTGCAGATTTGGATTTAGTTTAGAGCCTAAAGATACATAGCATTTCATCAAAGGAATCAAAGCAGTCTCTCAAAGGAATCAAACCAGTGTCTAAAATAACTTTGATTCTACTAGTTGAAGCAGTGGTGTACATTTATTTTAGAAAGTATGTATCCCATCCCCATTCATCT